TGTCTGTACGTCCCAACACTAGGAACCACGATTCGGACCCATTTGTCTCAAAACTGCAGCACACAACACAATGGCAGGCACAACATTCAAGAAGCGGTCATTTAGCGGCGACGGCCCGAAAGGTGGCAAGGGCGGGGTTCGGCCGACAAAGAAGCAGAGACAGGCAGCGGCGTACCACAGCAGCAGTTCCGAAGGTGAAGACGGCGACGACAGCGACAGCGACGACAACGAGGACGGCGCGCCAATCCCAGACAATCTGTTCGACTCGGACGATGCAGACCTCGACAACATTGAGGTGGACGACGGCGGCTCCTCCGGGGAGGATTCCGAGGGTAGCGATGCCGAGAACCAGTCCGACAGCAAATCGCCGCGGATAAAAAAGACAGCAGCGAAACCCACAAAACCAAATCAGCCCAAATTCGTCGCCAAAGACGCCCCAGACTCGGGCGGCGACTCGTCGGGCGACGATGATGGCTCTGACGACGGAGAGGGCTCCGACTTCGGGTCCGACACCAACCGGTCGTCCAAGCCCAACTCCAAGTCCAAGCGCAACGACCCCGAGGCGTTCGCGACGTCCATCAGCAAGATGCTATCGAGCAAGCTGCCCGTGTCGCGGCGGGCGGACCCGATCGTGGCGCGCAGCGCCGAGTCGGCGGTGGCGGCGCGGCAGCTGGTCGACTCTGCGCTTGAGACCAAGGCGCGCAAGCGGCTGCGCGAGCAGAAGCGCCTGGCCATGGAGAAGGGGCGCGTGCGCAACGTGCTGATCGCGAGCACGACGCGCACGCTCAACTTTGCCACGGGCGAGGTCGAGGAGGTGGTTGAGGAGGGTGCTGATACTACGGCCGAGATCATGGCGACGGAGCGCCGGCTCCGCAAGGTCGCCCAACGCGGTGTGGTCAAGCTGTTCAACGCGGTGCGCGCGGCCCAGGTCAAGGCGGCCGACGCCCAGCGCGTAATAAGAGGCGAGGGCATTGTGGGCGTGAAGCGGAAAGAGGAGAAGATCACCGAGATGAGCAAAAAGGGCTTCCTTGACTTGATTGCCAGCGGAGGCGGGGGTCTGAAGAAGGGAGGGCTAGAGGAAGCATGAAGGATTTTAGTTCAACGACCGGGAAGAGTCTTATAACGGGCAATTGAGCTGTCACGGTTGTACTGGCAGATGTTGCCGCTGCTATCAGAGCAGAATCTTTGGTGATATACACAGCCCCCTTTCGGGCGCGCCTCCCGGGCAATCCATATAAATGTATGTACAGTGGCTCATCGTGAGCTGAGCCATGGGCACCATATGATGCCCCTTCTATCATCCAAAAGAATAAAACGCAGGGCGTGCGCTGAAAGCCCGCAATCCCATCCAATGCTTTTGCTGGTATCTATGCATCATCTCCCTGCCCCTGAATGTTTCGAATTCATGTAACGCCAGTCCCAGGAAAATTACAGCACGCTCTCACTTGAAATCGCTTTCTTGCAGGTTCCTCGTCATGGAGGGCAGCTTGACCCGCAGGCCATCTAGCTCAGGCGTCATGACGACCTGGCAGCCCAGGCGGCTCGTCTCGGTAAGCCCAAACGCCAGGTCGAGCATGTCATTCTCGTCGTCGTCGGCCGCGGGTATCTTGTCGAAGAACTCCTCGTCTGTCACGATGACATGGCATGTGGAACAGGCACACGAGCCGCCACACGCGCCCTCCATTTCCAGATCATGGGCCTGGGCGATATCCAACAGGTTGTCGCCCTTGGACACGGCAAGTTTGTGTTCGAGGCCCTCCTTATCGATGAACGTAACGTATAGCCTGGGACCGTCAGCAGGGCGGAACTTGAGTGAGGGATTGCCTGCGGTGACCTACTCTTCGCCTGGCTTTGGAGGATCCACATGGCCGTGGGAAAGTGCGGATGACGTGGAAAACAGTCGCGGCTGGAATCGCAGAGACAGGCTGGAGTCGCGGCTGGTTGTGAGTCGTGGGGAGCAGCCCGGAATGGCCAGGCGCGGCGCTGCGCTGAGTCGACTGTTGCACCGTGCCTGCTGCTGTGCAATGCAGCTAGACGGCAGCCTCGGAACAAGTCTCAGGCTGCGAAGGCCCTGGGCTAACCGCGGCCGGGGCATCATTCTGGCTCAGTGTCTCGGGAGGAGGAAGGAGACCGAAGTTTTCGTTGCGGAGGAGGGAGCGGTGGCAAGAGCCGCCGAGGATTCGCGCGACAATTTCGAGTGAGGGAGCAAGGACCGTCCCGTAGGTGGTGGAGAGTGGAGGGGAAACCCAGGCGCGACGAAGAGGTAACGAAACCAACCGCCCCGGGAAATATTTGTACGCTGGCCAAGGACGTCCACGAAAGTTGCGCAGTCACCGTCAAACAAATGGAAACCCCCTCTCAAAAGGCTCAAAACATGTTGGTTTGCCTGCAAGAAGACAAACCTGTCACAAGCCACTCAGTGCGGTCGCCAATTGCAAGCTCGGGCGAATCTCGATGTCCGAATCGCTGGGACAGAGCTCCGATATGAAAATTTACCCCTGCAAAGCTGCTTGAGGCGGCGGCTTATCGCGCCCCGCTTATGCAATTGGCAAGTTGAACGCTAAAAAGTTTAATGCCTGTGCTTGCTTGGCGACAGGCCTTGGCTCTCCTTATCGCCGAGAGATTTCACCTCATCTCGTCATTCGCGCCGCACATGCAAAAGACACAAACTCAATCCGCCATCGATTTGTGAGGGCCGCATTTCAACACTCGCCTTACCTTACGGGCCATGATCCCGCACACATAACCAGCAAGCAACCATGGCGCACCACGGCGATGGGGTCAACCCCCTCCGACCATACTACATTCCGCCGACGATTGGGGAGCCGCCCGAGTCGCTGCCCACCCCCGGACCGAATGCCTTTGCGCAGGGCAATGCCTCGGGCATGTACGCGTCCAAGGCACGCGACATGTTCTCCGACATTGACTACAAGGAGTTCCTCGCCGAGCCTTCGCCGTCGGTCGTGCAGACGGTCAAGGAGTTTCTGGACGAGCTGTTGTGGAAATACACGTCGACCCTGATGGCGCAGCCCTTCGAGGTGGCCAAAACCATTATGCAAGTAAGGTCTCAGGACGATTTAGGAGGTCTGGCTGCTGCAGGGCTGCCCGTGACGCCAGCTCCAGAAGAGATAAGGCAGCGGCGTCCTAGCCAGCAGATCCCCGTCCATGACGAGGTATGTGAAACCCTCTCGACCCCCCGCCTCAGTCCTCCGTAGAAGCCGGCGGTGGCTGACGCTCCCCACTAGACCGAAGGTTCAGACTCCGATTCCGACCTCGACGAGCTCGCATATTTTGGCGCAAGCCATCATCACCACCACCACCCAAGCACGCCGTCGCCCTCCCTCCGTCGCTCACAACAAAGACCGCAGCAGCCGAGCCCACTGCCGTCACCACGGGCCCCTCCCAAGCCCATTCCGGCGCACCACCTAGTTATTCGCACACCTGATTCGGTGTTGGAGGTGATTGGGCAGCTTTGGCAAAAGGAAGGCGCCTGGGGCGTATGGAAAGGGTCCAACGCAACATTCGTTTACCATGTCCTGCAATCGCTGCTTGAGAACTGGTCCCGGAGTCTCCTAAGCGCCCTCTTCAACGTACCAGACCTGGGTTGGAAGAACGACTTGGATCGGCTGGTCAATGTTGCATCTCCGTATCCATGGGCCTCACTCTGCGTTGCCGCCACGGCAGCTGTCATGACGGGTCTGGTTCTCGCCCCCTTGGATCTCGTCCGCACTCGGTAAGGACTCCTGCCCAACCTTGAATGCTAGCACTAACTTGATGCAGTCTCATTATCACATCCACGGCACGAGGCTCTCGGCGGAGCCTATCTGCCCTTCGCAACCTCCCGTCATATCTCTGCCCTTCGGGCCTCGTCATTCCTACTATTCTACATTCTCTTGTCCATCCAGTCCTCACACTTTCGACGCCCCTTGCTCTGAGGAGTTACTTCATGGTTGAGAAAGAACAGTCGCCGACGGCGTTCTCGATCGGAAAATTCTGCTCTTCGACCGCCGCCCTCTTCTTCAAGCTACCGCTAGAAACCGTGCTTCGGCGAGGGCAGGTAGCCGTGCTTAGTTCACCCCAGTACGTCCAAGCTTTCGAAGTCTCGCAACCCGGCAAGGGGAAGAGAGTTGGTGGGGAGCAGCTGGAAGCCATCGTTCCTCTTGGGTCTTACAACGGCCTGTTCGGCACCATGTACACAATCACAAACGAAGAAGGGTCACGGCCCGTCCCTTCGGCAGTCTCGCAGGCCAGGGTGCCGCCGGCTAAGAGGGGCAAGCCCACGATCTCCGAGACTGTCTACCGGCAAGGACAGGGGCTGGACGGCCTCTGGCGCGGCTGGAAGGTGAGCTGGTGGGGCTTGGTTGGTCTCTGGACAGCTACAGTCCTCGGCGACAGAGGGGATGGCGAGTTCTAGGGGTGCTGCCGTCGCGCCCGCATTTGAAGCGTAAAGGCGGGATGCCGTATCCTGGTGGTATCTGTCCGCCTTTGACAGGCAATAACTTTTTATTCTCTGGTTGGTTTGTTGTATGTATACTTGTGTCTGTGTGTGGTGTGGTGTGTGGTGGTTGGCAAATGATTCCCCGCTCACGAATGGTATGATATCCCGGCTTCATCTTTATTATTTCTGGGCTTTATGATATTACCAATCAGCCCATGTGTGTTCTCGGATAATAAAATAGATTATATACTAGGAGAGGAGGACAATATCAGTTGCTTATTTACTTCTCAGTGCCTAATGTTTATTACATGTCCGGGAAGGTTTCTTGCCACAAACTAAACTGCGTAACTCCTGGGGTAACCGTGCCAAACGAAAGGATGTCTATTTCGGATAAATAATGCATCGTTGAGGGGTTGTGGCGAAGACAGTAGACAAGTGAAAGGTATGTTGGCTTGCTGCATCAGCAAGCCTCTCTCTCTCAGGGACAAACAGACAAAAAGTAAGCACCCAAGCTTGACAGTGAGTGAGTGGCTCACGATGGATCGGGAGGCAAAAGAAAAGCTGGGATAACCAGGAATCGAACCTGGGTCCTCTCGGATGCAAGAACACAACCACAACGAGAAATACTAACCACTATACTATCATCCCTTTCTCCCTTTTGTTGATGCTAGTCAGCAACCTAATTGTGGATAACTCAGGACCGTCGTGCCTCGGGACCCACGGCAATTGATTTCGTTAGTCAGTTAAGTTTGGTTTGTGACTTTGGGCCTTGGGGGCTGTCTTTCTCATCGCCGTGCGTGTGATGTAACTAATTTGAGAATTCTCGGAATATGGTAAGGTGGTAGGCGGAAAGGTAAAAAAACTTGGGATGAGATTTTGCATTTCTGCGAGATCCCAATGACACGATGTCGCCAAAAATTGACCCTTGCCTACGAAATTGACTGTTTTCCTTCCCTTGCTTATGCAAATGCCTGTTTTTCTTCCCTTACACCCGCCCTTACGTTCGAAATGCCCTCAAACTGACTGCATTCCTTACACCGAAGATTCGTTCATTTCTACGGCATTCCTTTTGCCCGGAATGCCTGCCCTGGATACGGATTTCCGTGGGGATATTCAGTGATCTTATTGGCTATAAGAAGATGCTTTTTTACCTATATTTTAGACCGATCTAACCAGACAATTCAATGCTTGGTCATTCCAGATCACGTGCAACACACGACTAATTAGAAAGAAGTCATTTCTCGATTCCCGCACAATTTCAGCCGGCCATTAGACATGCTCCTGCAAGACATTGCGCACATTGTCGCCAATCGCGAAAGCTGTACCACCTGTCTTGAATTCTGTCTACCAATTCGCACTTTCGAGCGCCGCCTCGGCCAGATTGAGCAGCCCCAGAGGAACCACCCGAGGGACGAGCGAGCGACACGTCTCAACGTGTCCGATCTGGTTAACCACTGAGAACGCCGAGCCGCCGGACCTGAACCGACGCCTGCTTTCTTTCCCTTGTCTCTCGAGCCATTCCGACAGAGCGACGGCCGAAAAGACAAGGATCCCCGAGACTACCGCTGCGGACAACACCCCCACCCCCCATTACGCCGAGCGAGCTGACGTTCGCCTTCGGTCGCCGCTCGCCGCTCGCTGCTCCAAACGAATGTTCTCGCCGTCCACCGTGTGGGCGTTGGCAGCAGCAGCAACAACGGCAGCACCACGAAAAAGACTTCGTAGCATTGTCGGATCATTCTCGGTCTTCTACTTGCCAGCAGTCCTACAGTTGCCAACGCTCATAATGCCCAGTAAGTGACGGCACTCGCTCTTCAAGGCGTAAGGTTTCGCTAACATTTTACTTTCGGTCGGACAAAAACCGTACGACTCGCGGATCAGCGGGCTGAAAGAGTACCCGCCAATCGTGAGTAGTTTCATGGGCGCGAAAGGTAGCGATCTCCTGCTTCTGGTCACCGCCCCCGCCCATGGGCGGCCGCAGCTGGCGCAGGGGAGACGGCATGACGGGCGAGTTCGGGGCCGTGGGGTAGTGCGAGTTGGCGGCAACCTTTCCCTGCTTTCCCTGCAGGATGCGCTGCCGAGGCCGGAGGATTTCGACAGGAGGTTCGGACAAGCCCCTGCCCATGGACGGCCGCAGCTGGTGCAGGGGAGACGGCATGACGGGCGAGTTCGGGGCCGTGATTTCGATGAGGCGACCCTGTGTCGGTTAGCAATCCAGGCGCCTCGCAATGTATTTTTTGCGGATCAATATTAGAAAGCCAAATACCATTTCTTGGGGATACACAAAGTATGAGCCCCTGGCGAGCACGCGCACGGTACAGGAAGCCATTGCGGGTTTGTCGTGAAGACCAAACCGAGTCAGGCAGTTTGTGAGATAAAAGGCATCCACCTTGGCCAAGTTACGATGACAATGATACCTTAATACCTTAATTACTCTTGGACTACCTCCAGGACCAGCTAACCTCATCACTTGATTGACACCAGGGAATGCCCACAGTCTGGCACTGGGCACCCGGACCAATCCCGGTCAGCGCTTCGTGTGCCCCCCGTAGATAATAAGATATTTATTCGCGTACTCGGGACCTTTAATCGCCTCGTTGAAGTTTCTGAATTCAGCAGAAGAGGGTACGTGGAGTATTTTTTTAGTCCGACTTCTTTTCTACCTATACATCTGCCGCACGATGACGGCTTCTAGCTCGATGGCCCGACTTTGCCGAGTTCCAATTTACCCAGACGTTTTTGAGCCACGGCGGTCCGTCGATCGTGAATCTGGCACCATTCCGCTTCATTATCCCATCACCTTCTTTTCACTTCTTTTCACTTCTTTTTAAACCTCAAAATCGGACACGTCCCACCTCGTCATCGGCTGGAGGTAGGATCTCGTTCAACATCCATACACCTCTCTTCTGCTCCAGAAGCCCGGATCTTGAATACCCGTCAGCTTCCTTTCTGCTCCATATCACCAAGTAATCTCTAATATCTAATTACCTTCCTTGCCGGCAAGATCATGATGGCGGGGGGATGTCCGGCTATGCTGGGCACCCGCGCGCCTCGAATGGACCTAGGCATGTCCTTAAACTGCCCAGGACCTGGGCACGCTCGTCATCAACTACCCTGGGTATCCGTCCAGATCGGGTGAGGCCATAGCCCTAGGGTTTCCCTTCCACTTGCAGGCTGTGCACCACGTTACACAGAATGATGACCCACTATTTATTTCCACAATATCAAAAAGCCAAAACAACTCCTTCCTAAACGAGCTCCTCCCTCAAAAAAATCGGCCACCTAACAACCCACCCCGTGGTCGGACCATTCCAAACAATTTCACGGGAAAAAAACCACCCACCTCACTTCCACCTTGCACCTTTCAATACATTCCTTCACTCACCACGACTTTTGACGTCGGTGTCACATCCTTTGGTCCGTTATCAAGGCATTCAAGAAAAGTAAGTTCTCTATTTTCTTATGCAATCCATTCTCTGAAGACGCTTGACTGCCTTGCGGCTTGCCTTGTGGATTTTCTCCGAGGTTGGAGGACGCAGTCGGAGACGCTGGTGTAGAATCGAAAAGCGCTCTCGTCCTCTTACGATTTACCTTACGAGGTAAAGGCTTTTCATCCATGGATGCATTCGCTTTGCCGAGCCCACATATTCCTCCTGCTTCGCACCTTCCTCTGCCGCAATTTGCCTTAACGCGAGACCTTTAGAACGCGGCATCTACCCTAGTCACCTCTACAGATCCGTACAGAGAAGGGAAAGCAAGACGCCTTATTCGTTTATTTCGCACCCAATACCATTTTCGAAGCATTCTGACTTTCCGCCGCTCAACAGAATGGAGTTCAGCGTCTTGGAAACTCCCAGTGATGGACCCGATAGTCCTTTCACAGCCCTGGTTGTTGCTAGAATGAACGTATTCTCAACTGAATCTGTCCAAGACAGGATCATTGCTCACCTTCTTCCCAGGAAACTCAATCCGTTAAGATTCGAATCACTGTCCAAATCATCACCCAGCCGGATGCTGGAGATTCAGTTGCCGAAGCTACAGACGACAAATCTTTTTGTGAGAATGCCGAGGAGAGTGGTCACCGCCTCGACAAATGTGCCGCTGCCGTCCAGGACGAGAAGCGTCTGGAGTCAGCTCATACGATACCAGCCTACCAAGAGACGCCGCTCTTTCGCTGCTTGATATGCCAGAGTACCGGACACGATAAGAAACGATGCCGCCACTGCCGCCGCGCAAATATCACCTGCCATGCTTGCGGTGAAAAAGGACACTTCCATTATCGGTGCCCCACATACATCGTCTGCTATAAGTGTGGTGTAAAAGGACACAGTGGCAGATATTGAAACAAACCTCCCGAGCTATGTGAGAACTGTCAGCAACCTGGTCACATGCTCAAAAAATGCAAATTCTGTGTCTATTGCAACGCAGAGGGCCATTCCACCAAGAGATGTATGAGCCAGGTCGTTTGTCGGCTATGCAAGGGAGCAAACCATAGGGAATCCAAATGCCCAGCTCAGCCATGCATAATGTGCAACAAGACTGGCCATCCAGAGTTGAAGTGTCCTGAGCGTTTCGTTGGCGGCGATCCGGGAATCATGCGGGTTCTCCACCTCATGAGAATGCGTTTTCGGGCAAGGCTAGGCAAACAGCAAAGGAAGGCCGCAGTCAATCCAACTACTCATTCGGTGCACCAAAGGTTGATTGACGAAATAATCAAGAAGGTCTACCTAGAGGCCCTACCCTAGGGGCCTAATGTCTAGCATCGGAAATCCAGGCAGGACGGCGAGGCAATTAATACAGATATGGTCACCACTGGGGTCCTATTGCATATGGGCAGGAGAATGGGAAGATTGACTCAGATGGCGATAGTCATCCGGATGGCGGTGCAAAGTTTCGGAGAATTCCATAGTCTAGCGTTGGGGACACGAATTGAGATTTCGCGGCTTATCTCGGTATGGAAGGGTGTTTGCAGGATTCTTGGAGTTACTGCAGGTAACCCCGTCATCAGATCTTTGAGCTGCAGATAACTAGGTTAGGTCCATAGGTAGATGAACGAAATCAGACTGCAGCCATATTATTGGTGAACGACGGGGCGTGTGAAAGCACAGTGTCATGGTCGCTCAGGGACTTCAGGGGAGGTCGTCACGTGAGGGGCACGTGACTCGTGTTGACAGTGTAGGGGGAGGATCGCCAGGGGCCCCAGGGACGCACGGGCTCTCCACCGTGCGTACATAAAGGAAGAACTGGCTCGCAGAGACTTCGCAGCGGGTCAGAGATTAGTGCTGCACACAATAACCACCTAACCTTCTTGCCTCTGCCACTCTTGACACTCTTGTCCCAAAGCCCCTTACACACAGGCTAAATGTGATCGCTCCGCCACCTGACCTATGTAAATGGATATACTGGGCTGCCAAGAGAAGGAGCTCCATGCCGGAACTGACAATGGTTTTGTTGAAGTTCACAGACCCATTATATAAAAAAAGATATGCCTACTAGTAGATTCCGGGAGGCATATGAGGGGTGCATGGAGAGGCTTTCTAGGGCGCTCTAATCAGAGTCCTTGGTACTTTTCTCAGTTCTCCAAGCCAAACAGCTTAACTAGTTCTAATTATCTCGTAGCCCGACGGTGGCCGTGACCAACCCTCATT